GATAACTGCGCCAATTGGCGACGTTCTGCGAAAAAAACGAGTGCCCAAGCCTTCTCCTGATGATAGGTGAACACTTCTCGCGTCGTCGTTTCCTTGCATCAACCCCTCAGTCACTCGTTCACACCCGCTTTGTCCTCTCTTTGCGGCGTCCTTCAACTGTCATTTGGAAAACGTGTGTGTGTGTCGGTTTGGTTCTGCTGCTACGTGTGTGTCGGTCGGTTTGGTTCTGCTGCTGCTGTGTTCTTTTTTTGACCTCGTCCACACCGAGTGGCCAACTTTGGCACGTGTTCAGACCAGCTTCCACTCATCTCCTCCTCTACAGCTCGCGGCTTTCACTATCTGCATATCACAGAGGGTGTTCGCGTGTGGTTTGCAGACCACGACAGGGGGTAGTGAGGAGGGGCTCGCGATCGGCGACAACTCGCGTGCTAGTTCAAATATTCTGCTGCTGCTGTGTTCTGAGTGGTGGGGCATTTTTTTCGACTTCTTCATTTACTAACGCATACGGAGTGCTGACAACAACGATTCGCATGATGCACAACATCGCATCAAACAACATTTCGGGTGTGTGTACCAAAACAAAAGCNTACGGAGTGCTGACAACAACGATTCGCATCAACAACATCGCATCAACAACATTTCGGGTGTGTGTACAAAACAAAAGCAACACATATTCACGGGGGGCGCACGACCCAGCCTACTGCAGGTACTTTCCGCAGCACGGGTTATGCTGTTGTGATGGTGCGCGCGGAAAAAACTCTCCCCACTCGGGGTCTAGTAAGGAAGGGTCAATTTCTGGGAACCTTCCTCAAAGCGGGGGGAACATTGAGGGGGGAACATTGAGCTCCTAAATCTGGAGTGTGGCCCTCAGATTTAGAAAAACCCGTGCCCTTCGCACATTTAACATGAAATTACAGAACATAACATATATGAGACACGCAAGACAGCTACCAAACTGATTTTCTGAGCCTGTCACCCGCAGGGGAGCTGTCGCTATAGGCTGCCTACGAAATCGTAGACATACAGGTAGTTTTCTCTGACGCAATAATTCCATTGTTAATCTGTCTCTGACTCTTTTCTATGATAGAGATGGACTCGTTGTGTCATATTAAAATAAGAAAAAAGAAAAAAAAAAGCAGCGCTAGCGCTCCTTTTTTCTAAATCGGAGGGAGCGTTTCAGATTTTAGAGGGGCTACCTTGCACACACACAACAGAACAGCATGGCTACCCGTCAGAGCGTGAGGTTCGTCACACACACGGAAAAGGGCTTGGCCCTAGAGGCTTCCCGCAAGGCGGCGGCGCGTAGGGACGCAGAAAACTCCGAGCGCCCGTCCTTCAGGGCGGCAGGCGATGGGCACGCGCAAAAGGTGGCGAGGTTTGGTGGAGAAGAGACCCCGGTGCAGTTGGAGGGCTTCGACGATGAAGTGGTAGCTGTGCCCAAACCATCGAGCGTGAACCCCGCGGGCAACAAGACCGCAGCAGGCAGAAAGAGAAACTCCGGGAAGTGGAACACGGGACAGGACCTGATGCTACTTACTTCCGGTGAGTGTGTGCACGTGTGCACCCACCGGACCTACAGGTAGTCTACGTGTGTATGCATGGTGGCACGCATATGCATGGGCAACCCACCGAACACGATACAGCACATAGCATGGCCGTTCATCCCATGGGTGCCACCTGTTACATGCTGTAGCATCCGGTTGCTGTGTAGCAGTGGACCCGTCGCTGGGTAAGTAGTAGGTCCGAAGCTTGTGGCTTCGCTTGTGAGTCGAACATACATGCCTTTTTTCATGTGGCTCGTCGCAGCATGAACACAGCAGTCCGGTAGGACGACAGGTTCCGCGGCGTGTTGGGTGTGTGCCTCGTGCAATCTCCTGCCATCGTATGTAGGGCGGCATATTTTCTAACTAGGTTGAAGGAAGGTGATGTGTAGAACATTCGTTGAGTAAGCAAAGCACGGTTTTGAAGAAAAGCTGGCGGTCATCACAGGAAGCAAGACCACATGAGGTCGATTGATGGATTTTCGTGTCGAGTTGACTACTTTTTCAAATAAAAAATTTAAAATTTCCCCATATCAGACGGCGCCGAGTTCGGATGTCTCCCTCCCGCCGTCGCTACCTGCTGTACAGCAGTGGAGCAGATGCACTTGCTTGAAAAGGGGGTTAGCATACAGGATTTGTGCTTATCACCCAACTGCTGTTGCCGCACAGCAGTTTATCGAAAAGGTTGTTCTCTGGATACAAAGTCCCGTGGCACAGCAAGGTGGCGATAACAAGTATTCTACACTGCTGTAACACCCAAAGCACGTTGCACGGTGTGCCTGCATTTGTATGCTCGCTCACCACAGCAGTTGCATCCGTCAGGATGGGGTTTGGTCGGAAGAGCGTTGTGTCAGTTTCCGGATAAGACGCCGGCCTTGTGGGCTCCTCACAAACTACTTCGCATATTTATTTTCTTGCTTGTCATATCGCTCTCCCTGTCGCGGCAGCTGTGAGACACAAGACCTGGCGAGTGGCCGGCGTGACCGGCACAGTTGAAGACAGATGGGGATTGGTCTACGCAGAGTTGAACTCGGAGCCGCACGTGAGAGCTTTTGGGGACAAGCCTTTAAAGAATTTGGTGTCGCGCTTCAACCAACTTGTTCGCGTCCAAACCGCCAAGAACAATGACGCCGCACGAGCATCGGGAGTAGGGAATACCTCCGGCGACGACCTCGACGGAGACGAAGCCAAGCTGGTGAGAAGCTAAACGGTGAAGCACAATTGTACTGCGAATTTGTTAGCCTACTGTGATAAACGTTGATACGGAATTCGGTGCTATGATGGCAACGATCACTCGGGGTAGCCCTCTGCCTGTATGTCATGACTGCGTTGAGCTGTCCTTCGCGAAAAACAGGAAAAAATTCAACAAAGTCTGTATGCAAACGTCGGAATGAATATGGAAATGGGGCAACGAGAGCCCAGTGCATGACTTTTGCTGCTCGTCTTGCCGCGCTTCCACCGTTCTGGGTCGGGTCATGTTGCTCCTTGCCGTAGGAGAAGCTGCTGATCGCGGTGGTAGACGCCAAGGCCGCGGAGAGGGCAGGCTCTCAACAAGAAAAGGCGAGGAAGGCGGGCCAGAACTTGCTTGGCCAGGCAGCCATCGACATGGGCAACAGCCGGTGCGGACCGGGAGCAACGGCGACGTCCTTCGGAGAAGCTCACGCGAGCGACGAGCGCCGGATGGAGGGAGTCAACCGCACCAAGGGACGCATGCCTGGGTTCACGCAGCCCGATAGCAGGAGCGGCAGCGGGAGCGGCCGATCCAGCCCCGCTACCGCCGGCGGCGGGGCCGGTTTCGGTAACGGCAGTGGGAGCGGTATCGGCAGCGGCAGCGGGAGCGGCCGATCCAGCCCCGCTACCGCCGGCGGCGGGGCCGGTTTCGGTAACGGCAGTGGGAGCGGTAGCGGCAGCGGTAGCGGTAGCGGCCGATCCAGCCCAGCTACCGTGGGTGGGGTGATACCTGTCCCCCCGCTTGGGGGCGCCCTTGCCAACCTGCTACGCGCACCGACGATCGAGAGGCTTGCTTCGAAAGCCAACGTTACGCCTGAGCAGGCGGACCTTTTCCTCAACGCGGGATTTCGTCCTGACCAAATCCCCTATGATGTAGCAACGAGGATGATGGAGACTGTGATTGCGGGCTACCTGAGTGCACTTAGAGGTAACCAATCCGTGGAAACGTTTGTCAAGGAAGTTATTGAAGCTGATGAAGACGCCGATGGCTTTCAACCCGTAGCAACGACTAAAGTTCCCGGGTTGGACAGGGCTGGTGATTTGACGAACGCACTTTTTGTCAACTACAAGCAAGACTTTAATGCGTTTGGAATCCTTCCGAATGCCTACAAGTACCGCAGTGGGTGGTTGGTTGAGGAAGGTCCGTCGGACAAGATCTTCGATGGGCTGACGAGGGCTCTGGCGGCTCGACTGGTGTTCGGTGCCGACAACACGCCGTTGAACTTAGCCGCCGCCGGCGGCGGCAGCGGCGGCGGCGGCGGCGGCGGTGCTAACGACTATGACGATTCCGGCGACGACGATGCACCTCCCGACAGGCAAGCCAAGCGTACGGCCAAGAGCGGTAGGAAGACCCGCACAAACGCCAACATGAGCAAGGAGTCGGATCTCAACGGGTAAGCGTGGCGACCGTTAAACTATTTGGGTTGTTTCAAAAAAAAAACAGGTCGAAACGATGGGTTCCAGGTCGGTGTTTGTTTCCTGGAGTGCTTTATCTGTGTGCTGTCGCTTCGAAAGTTAAGGTTTACCCATTCCCACTTGTGTCGGCATAGTCGACCGACCTCGTCAAAGGTTGCCTATTTTAGCCCGTACCCAATGGTCTTGAAAATATCTTCTGCACGAGCATGCATTCAACGGGCGGCTTGGCGTCTCGTTTCTTGTTGCGTCCAAAATATATAGGATGCTGGCGCGCTCGATCCAGAATGCAGAGCAAAATGAGATTCGGAGGTCGGTGAGGGAAGAGTCGTTTGCACGGCGGAGCGAGCAAATGGCGGAGGACCGGTACCAGAGGGAGCGTGATGAAAGTAAGCTGGACCGCCAACACGAGAGGGATTTGCGTGCCGACGAGCGACAGGAGGAACGCGCAGACAGGGATAAGCGGGAGGCGGCTGCGGAAAAAAGGCGTGCCGATGAAAGGGCCGAAAGGGAGAAGGAACGGGAGTTTGAGTTGGAAATCATGAGGATGAAGGTGCAGTTGGCTGTGGCAGAGAACAAGAAACCGTAGGCATTGGAACGCTCCCTCCGACGAGCGGGGGGGAGAGGGGGGATTGTTCCATTGCGGCCGCTGCAGTGTGATATTTTTTCGTCGATTTTATTTTATTTTTTGTCGCGGTCGAAGAGGAGTTCCGTGCCGTGCGGCAACGTAGCGAGAAAGCGCGGGTGGGGGGCGGGGTCATGCTTGTTCTTTGTTTGCGACTACAGTGTGTTTTTTTTTCGTCGTTATATTTCTTATTTTTGTCGTGGTCGAAGAGGTGTTCCGTGCCGTGCGGCAACGTAGCGAGAAAGCGCGGGTGGGGGGCGGGGTCATGCTTGTTCTTTGTTTGCGACCACAGTGTGTTTTTTTTCGTCGTTATATTTCTTATTTTTGTCGTGGTCGAAGAGGTGTTCCGTGCCGTGCGGCAACGTAGCGAGAAAGCGCGCGGGGGGGGGTCATGCTTGTTCCTTTGTTGGCGGCTGCAGTGTATTAATTTTTCGTCGATTTTTTTTTTTGTCGCGGTCGAAGGGGTATTCCGTGCCGTGCGACAACGTAGCGAGAAAGCGCGCGGGGGGGGGTTCATGCTTGTTCTTTGTTGCCGGCTGCAGTGTATTTTGTTTTGTAGATTTTTTTTTTATTTTGTCGTGGTCGGAGAGGTGTTCCGTGCCGTGCGACAACGTAGCGAGAAAGCGTGCGCGGGGGGGGGTTCATGTTTGTTCTTTGTTGGCGGCTGCAGGGTGTTTTTTTTTTCGTCGACTTGTTTGTTTTTGACCGAGAGGTGTTGCGTGCGGGGGGCTTACAACGTAGCGTGAATGCGGGGGGGGTCGGGTATCTCGATGTTATCGGCTTTGTTGGCGACACGAGTTTTGTTTTTCTCGTGCACGTTTTCCTGTCGAATGCAGTTTTACCTTGAGGGGCTTCGGCGTGTAGGTGTTAGGTGGCTACAGGGTTGGTGTTTTATTCCCCATTGCATGCATCGAGAGTGTGTGCGTTCCGGGTTGCTGCTGTGAGACGCCAGTGTGTCGGTGAGAGGGGTTCTTATTGCTATTGCTGCAAATTCGCACACTACCGCAGAGAGGCGCAGCAATTCACCGGTGTAACTCGTGTGTTGCTGATCGGCTGAAGCCCTTCAACCCTTTTGCGTCAAAGTGTCTGGTCTCGGATACTTACCGGGTTCCGTATCAATGTTTGTTTCGAAGGTTTCACCATGGAACTAAAGGGAACGAGGGAGAGGGTGTGGTAGAGAGCGAGAGCGACTAAAATGCAGAAAACGAGCACGCAAACTCCGTTGCCGTATACATATTAGCTATCTCCACTTTGTACGCCAGTAGGGCGGCCCGCGACAGGGTGGTGGCAACTCTGAGGCTCGCACAAGGCGTCTTGAGTGGTAGAATAGCAGACCTTGAGTGATCACCCCTCGAGCTGCATGCACTACCCTCTTTTCAGTACATTCCAACGATCACGTTTACACAGTCATTGCCACGGCATGAAAACCCCGACGTTGAAACCATTCTCTGCACCCCTATAGCTATCTCCACTTTGTACGCCAGTAGGGCGGCCCGCGACAGGGTGGTGGCAACTCTCAGGCTCGTACAAGGCGTCTTCAGTGGTAGTCTAGCAGGCCTTGAGTGATCACCCCTCAAGCTGCATGCACTACCCCCTTTTCAGTACATTCCGACGATCAGGTTTACACAGTCATTGCCACGGCATGAAAACCCCGACGTTGAAACCATTCTCTGCACCCCCCCCCCGCATGTGAGCCCTGCCAGCTCTCTAGAGTTCCTCCTTCCCTCACGAACACACCAGCACAGCACACCGAAGAACTTGCCAAAAAAACCGTGAAGGGCCACACGGCGACAACTCCACGGCTTGCTACCTCACCAGCTTTTGTGCAAGATCAATCAAATCATCAGTTAGAACGCCTCAAGTTGTCCAACCTACCGGGGTCGTGGCATTTATTGGCTAAGCTTAATCTTGGCGTACTTCACAGCCATTTAACTCACAAACATCACCCTGCTGATTTTTTGGCTGGTGCGAACACCTCGTCACGGAACTATTTGAGCACGGCATGCTCACATTTGTCCATCAACTACTAGGTGCTGCGGTACCCTTGCAAGTCAGGAACAACAGGGTTTTCGCACGATTGAGAGCGAAGTTTCCGATTGAGAGCGAGAATCTACAAACGCCCACTTGCTAGTCATCTCCTTGAAGCCCCACTCCACGGTTACCCTGCAGTGGCTCATGCGCTGGATGAAGTCGACCATCTCGGGGGTAAGCGGGCCGTAGGATGCGGCACTGAAAGGGCAAACGAGGTGATCGCTTAAGCCGTATGCCGGGTCTCCATACAGGCAGTACGGGGCTGCTAACGTGTGCTGCCAGCTTTTGCACCAGTCCAGACTGCGCCAGCAAGTAACTATCATGACGTGTGCCAAGCACAGGGCCCCACAAATCGACGAATAACCCGTCAGGGGTAACCACGCCTTGAAACGTGATCGCATGCTTCCTCTTGTGGCCATTGTAGTACCACCGTTGGAAGCGAACGGGCCTAAGAAGAGTAGACACAACAAGAACAAGCACCGACACATCAATGCAAATCCGGCGACGTGATGAAGCTGGTAATCTCTGAAGGAAATCAGCAATGGCGCGATTTCAACCATACGGAAAGCGGGCCGAAATGCAGTTGCTTGCGTACATCACAAAACTGAAACTTACAATACTTAGTTGGTGANAATGCAAATCCGGCGACGTGATGAAGCTGGTAATCTCTGAGGGAAATCAGCAATGGCGCGATTTCAACCATACGGAAAGCGGGCCGAAATGCAGTTGCTTGCGTACATCACAAAACTGAAACTTACAATACTTAGTTGGTGAGTGTCCGCGAGTCGTACTCTCTCTGCGCATAGTATACTCTCCTACTGCTGCTACGGCCGGTTTGAGTGCCCACCCCCCATCTACGGTAAGATACCTAGAGTGGAAATCGGCAATTTTTTACACGTACCTCGCAATGCCGCGGACGGTTCCATCGATGAAGCCCCAGCAGTGTGTTAGAGGGCAACCGGCGTTGTATATGGCTTCGGCGAACTCCACCAACCTCGGCTTCAGTCGCTCCCCGTCAACAGAGAGCAGCCAGTCCCACTTGAAGTCGAGGACGTGCAGCATCCATTTAATAAACGTTTCGCAGATGCAGGACTCGCTCAGCCCGAAAATCAAGCGCATGTCTTTTNAGAGCAGCCAGCCCCATTTGAAGTCGAGGAAGTGCAGCATCCAATTGAACGTTTCGCAGATGCAGGACTCGCTCAGCCCGAAACCCAAGCGCATGTCTTTTAGACGGCATGGAAACGCGAGGCGATACAGCAGCACGCAAAGAGCCTCTCGCCCACTCACGATAAACCCACAGTCGGTCCGGATGAACGCAGGGATCAGGAGAAGATCCAGCATCAGCATGATCTGGACGAAGAAAAATGAGCAAAGCATGATGATTAGAAATTACAGTTCCAGCAGAAGGACCACGGTTTGTGCATTCAATGCTTCTATCGCACTGCCGCTGAATACCCTGCGCAACCCTAACCCTAGGTGTGTGGTGAGAAGAGTAGTCTACTGCTGCTGCTTTGCTCTCTACAACAGTGTAGCAGTAGGCTACAGCAAAGCTAGCAAGGTGCTTGCTAGGAGATGGACACGAGACAACTGGGGGGCACCTACCTGCGGTTGCGTGAAGCGAAGAAAGTTGATGCAGTCTTGGGGGCTGAAGAGGTTTGTCACGTCTCGGCGTGCCAAGCTTGTTGCCACATCGTCTGTGATCAGACTCGCCATCGTGTAGATGAAGGCCATGTTATATACCATCCACATGTCGGTGTAGGCCTCGTACATCTATCGGCACTGCATATACACAAGTGCTCGTGTTTTGCGCGCCATCCTCTCATGGATGCGCAGACGTGACATGGTGGGATGACTCCAGTAGTGCTACCAGGTGTGTGGTGCTGGTGTCATGTGTCGTGTGTCTCGTTGTCTCGTTGCTCCCTGTGGCGGAGGGCCGCAGGGCCGCGCATCCTGTGCGGTGGGTCTCCCCATCAGACTGTGTCAATCACCCAATCAGAGCGCGTTTAGAATTCAGGTCACACAACGTAACATATTTCTTAAATCTGGGACTGCTCGCCACTGAATAATCTTCCCAGAAACTTCCTAAGCTAATTTCTAAATCTGAAACCCCGTTATATCTAACTTTTTTGCCGAAACAGTCCAATGTCTCATACTCTACATGAATATTAAACCAATACGAAGTACAACAAAATATGTAGGAATTATTTCTACTGTCACTTACATCGCAAAAGTATCTCCTCTTCAATTTGAAATAATANCTCCCCATCAGACTGTGTCAATCACCCAATCAGAGCGCGTTTAGAATTCAGGTCACACAACGTAACATATTTCTTAAATCTGGGACTGCTCGCCACTGAATAATCTTCCCAGAAACTTCCTAAGCTAATTTCTAAATCTGAAACCCCGTTATATCTAACTTTTTTGCCGAAACAGTCCAATGTCTCATACTCTACATGAATATTAAACCAATACGAAGTACAACAAAATATGTAGGAATTATTTCTACTGTCACTTACATCGCAAAAGTATCTCCTCTTCAATTTGAAATAATACCAATGACAATCCTCATAGTATCCTACATGCGTTCGTAAGCTTGCTAAAATACTACCATAGGTATGATCGTGTTATGCTTTTGTGCGTTGGCCGAGCGATATGGGTGATGTTGCGGTGCTGCGGTGCTGCGGTGCTGGCCCACCCTCGCTCACTTCACGTTTTGACATGCTCTCCTGGTCCAAAGTCTCATCAATATAACATCTTTTCCCAGAAGCCACGAGTTTATCAACACACCATAGCGCCATCAATCAATCGACTACTGCTTGTCCCCTCGGACTGTACGTCAAGACTGCACAGAGGAAGTTTGATCACCTTGCTTCGTGATGACCGGGCCTGCTGGGGATCATGTGGATGGCCCATCTCCGGGTGATTCGCAGGATGTTATTGGTGATGAGAGATAGGATTCGATTGAGACACAGTTGTCGCAGCTCACGAGTATAATCAAGTCGCTTGTTGGGCAACGAGGTGATCAGGTGGAGTCCTCTGTTCCAGTAGCTGCTGCTCCCGGAGGCGGCGGAACAGAGTACACTGGTGCGCATCAATCGGATGACACTGGCAGGACTGCGGGAGGTACGGGCAGCAGTGCCCTAGTCCTTGGCATGTCCAGCATGTGGGTTGGGAGTAGTAGGCTAGTCTTGTAGACTCAGGCTTGAACCTTTGTGTGAATTTTGTAAGTCGTTCCTCTGCTGGTGGTACTGCCAGCGGCAGAACCGACGCCGGTTGGCATCCTTCCGATGCTACTTACTGGCAGAAATGCGGGAGGTACGGGCAGCGATGCCCCAGTCCTTGGCATGTCTGGTGAGCATCAATCGGGACTGATTTTGTCTTGTATCTGTTGTGGTCAAAACATTTTCGGCTGGGTGCCCTCCACACTAGTCTGTTTGAAGCGTTGTGTCTGTCTACACATGAGATTCCGATTGCAAGCTTTGAATTCGACTTGACCCCCTCGGTACAGCAAGGATTCAGTGTGGATGTACTGCGCCAGGCAAAAAAGAGAACGGTGAGAAGTCTGGCATGGTGCTATTTTCTCAAACGAGATCGAACAACTCGCATGATCTGACGTGTCTGGTAGAGTATCACGAGGTTATGCTGGAGTGCTTGTCAAGTGATGATGCTGTCCGCAAATACTCTTATTCTTGTGAGGAAGAACAGATATATATGTCAAGAATGGTGTTAAGGACACGGTTACTGCTTTCCACATGACTGATTCTCTCTCTAGCGTTAACGATGTGAAGGCTTGCTATTAGAACGCATGAGGGATTAGTTGCGTTACTTGTGAAGTAGACCGTCTGGAACCCTGGAGGAAGTGTTTGTGATTGCTGACAGCGAGTGTTCAGTAGAGTTGGAGAAGGTTTGTGCAACCTCTTTTCTCCCAGCGCAGTGTTTGATGGCGGTTATGAAATAGCCTCGGTGGTCTCGATGGTGTGATGGCTGCGTTCGACGGAACAGTTAATTTTCATCATTTCGATGGCATGGTTGTTGCTACTGTGTATCGTCTGGGAGATGAATCTGTTGGTTCGGTGTTAGCTACCTTCACCCCTCAAGACCCCAAAGCAACGAAGATGGATGTGAACGAGTTTCATGACGTTTATGGTCATTCACATGAGGGATTGCTTCGAACAACTGCAAAGCGACTGGGTATTGAGTTGACTAATGAAATTCATGCGTGTAAGGGATGTTCGATGTCGAAGGCATTCAGGAAAGGAATCGCTCGTGAAACTAAACGCAGATCAAACAAAAAGTTGGGCAGAGTTTTTGTTGACCTGGGAGCACGGACGGACGTTGCGTCCGTAGGGGTAAAAATTACCCCATGATAGTGAAGGATAATTTCACTAGACGTACATGGCTGTATTTCCTGAGAAATGAATCAGACGCTGGGGGTGCTTGCAGAAGTTTCCTTGCTAGTGTGCGTGCTGATGAAAACCTACCATCTTAGATCTGAAAATGGGGAGGAGTTTTTCAGAGGGGAATTTGCTTCAGTGTGCAATGAGCTCTTGATTAAGCAAGAGTTCACTCTGGCTTTCAGTCCACAATACAACGGTGTTGCAGAGGGTGGTTTAGGATTGATTGAGGCAGCTGCAATGGCGGCTCGTATTCAGGCGAAGATTTTGTTTGGGCATGTGCAGTTACCTAAGACTGACAGACTCTGGGCTGAGGCCAATGCACTGGGCTTGCGAAGCACTTAACCACACAGCTTGTTCCGCTAACCCAGACAGCAAGTCCCCGTATGAGATGTGGTATGGCGAAGCTAGTCCTGCTAGACCGTATCCATTTTTGAAACCGGCTTACTGTAGGTGGCAGTGACCGTTTGAGCTGCTGCTGTGAGGCTTGCTTTTACGTCGGTCCTTGGAGAGACCACCCGCGTGACTGTCACAGAGTACTTACGAGGGCAGGGAATATTCAAGAAATGAGGGTTGTGACATGGGAGGCATTGCCGTCACAACTCCCTCCACCACAACCATCTCTCTTGCCGATAGAGGTAGCAGGGAAGAGAGGGGAGGAAAGTGACGATGATGTCGAAGCCGAGGTATGGCCGCTTGTAGGAAGAGGAGTACCCCACATTCTTCTGCGACGTGATGAAGCGGTCTCTGACGGAGAAATCGATGAAATTGGCAATGTTGATGCAGGCAGTGTAGGCCGATCCCCCTCTATGCCATCTTCGCCCGCGATTGATTCCCCTAGACCTACAGCTCCCCCTGTGTCTTCTCCAGCAGACGAGTTCACCGATGAGGGATAGCAGGGAGGGCCGGTGACAGGGTGGCAGAATCGGCGGGTCCCGGAGGGCAGGAGATAGAGTCGGAGTCAGGAAGGGTTGGATGAAGTGTTCGTGGAGCTGGACGGGCAGAAGGTAGAATCGGAGACACTTCCCCCTGCTACGCGCGTACCATCTAATCGTCGTGCGCAGCATGAGCTTGCTAGGTACAACACTGGTGCGAATCAGACTGATGAAGGTAAAAATGGCAGAACCCGTGCGCAAACTCGGGCCGTAAACCAGCAGAGCGTATCCGGTCTCATGGCCACTCTAGGACCTATCTTCGCATCTGAAATTGTAGAAGCACTCTTAGTGGAGCAGAGAGCGTCTGAAACTATGGACCTGCCGAGAGAGCTCATTCAGGGTGTAGAGACAGAGCCTGGTAGCTACCGAGAAGCCCGTCAGTCAAAATAATCCTCGATTTGGGACAAGGCCATGTCTGCAGACTTTGAAGGCTTGTTAAGAGTAGGAACGTTCGCGTTAGCAGTAAAGGTTCCAACAGGCTGTAACGTGATAGATGCTAGATGAGTCTAAAAATGGAAAGCAGATGAAACAGGAAAGATAGTGAAGGCCAAGGGTAGGCTTGTAGCGAAGGGCTTCAAGCAGAAGCATGGTGTGGATTATCTTGAGACTTTCTCGCCGACTGCAAATGCTGCATCGATTCGTTTGTTGGTAGCACTGGCGTGCAAGTATGATTTGGAATTTCTCCACTTTGACATTGAGCAAGCGTTTGTTCAGTCGGAAATGGATCACGAGGTGTTCATAAAAGTTCCTCTTGGATGCGAGTCGATGACAGGAAAGGTAGTCCGTTTAGACAAAAGTTTGTACTTCCTCTGTATCATAAGTTAGGATACCTAAACGCAATAGATTGTCTGGGTGCAACCGTGTTATTAGTGATGGTAGCATAGTCGGGTTTGTAAGAAAGATATAACAAAGAAGAAGTGATGGAAAAAAAATAAAAAAAACGAACATCTATTTCTGTACCTACTATTGGTCAAAATGTACCCTATTTTGGCCTGTTTTGGGAATATTTTTGAGAAAATATTTTGGGATATTTTTTGAGAATTCTCGACAAAATTCTCAAATCCATTTTACTACCCTACTCTAGCGATGGAATCGCCCCCCAGCACACCACCTCGCAAAAGGGGCACCGAATTATCGGTTGGTAGGCGCTATGCCATGGCGGTAGAAATTGCGATGGGCATTCAGCCGGGGTTGTCAAGGATTCCCAAGGGCGTGCTTGACCCGATCTGCGAACGCTACGGTGTTGGAAAGAAGTACCCGTCCAAGTTGTGGAAACGGGTCAAAACCCAGATCGACAACACCCAGGAGCTGGACCTTTCAAACGAAGCAAAGTGGGCGGCCGTCGCTTCTCACCCCTTCAAAGATTGCGGCGGCATCGAGTCCAAGTGATGATGACGAAGAATAGTCGACTCTTCTTTCTTTTCCCCGCCACCAACCAACCCTTCTTTTTGTCCCGCAAGTGTCTTGATTATAGTGTGACCCCTCAAGTGTCTTGGTTTTAGTGTGTGACCCCCAAGTGTCTTGGTTTTAGTGTGGTTCACTACTATACTGATTTTAGTATAGGGGGCGCGACATGGATCGTTGAGTAGAGGGGGGGGTTGGATGAGGGCCCTACTGTTGCTTGCTTTGCCCCGTAAGTGTCTTGGTTTTAGTGTGGTCCCCCCAAGTGTCTTGTTTTCAGTGTGGGGGCCACTATTATGCTGTTTTTAGTATGAGGGACGCGTCATGGATCGTTCAGTAGAGGGGGGGCTAGGTTTAGGGTCAGGGATAATTCTTGGTATTTTTGCCTTGTTTTTGTCATTGCCCCGCCCCCCCCGCCTGGTCGGAGGGGGCAGAATACATGCAAAATGCGGCCTTTTTCAGGCCGACTGTTTTTTCTCGGGCACTCATGCACGCGGGGTGGCGCATGCATATAAAATAAAACAAATGTTTCTTGCTCAAAAAACGCCGAAGATTTCAACAAAAAAATCGAAAAACAGATCGGACACGGTTAAACGGTTAAGGGCCCGTACAAATTTAAGTACCCTAACTTATGATACAGAGGAAGTATGGACTGAGACAGGCATCTAGAACATTTCACAAGAGACTTGTATCGAACCTGAGGTTGGTTAGTGTCGAACAATCTCTATCTGACCCCTGTGTTGTGCGTTTCATAATGTCAAACGAGGTGATGTGTATGATCGCGATTCATGTGTATGACATTCTGTATGGAGGAATTGAGAGCCTTGCCAAGATAGTTGTGCAAGCGCTAGGTGACTCTTTTCACACGGAAAAATTTGGCAAGGTCAAGTTCTTTCTTAGTTGCGCATTTAGTCGCGACCGCGAGGCTGGCACGATTGACATGTCTCAAGGGAGTTGCGTCAGGAGTGTTCTTGAGAGATTTAATATTTGTCGCACCAGCTCGATCCCTGCTTCCCCTGCCAGTGANAGAGCCTTGCCAAGATAGTTGTGCAAGCGCTAGGTGACTCTTTTCACACGGAAAAATTTGGCAAGGTCAAGTTCTTTCTTAGTTGCGCATTTAGTCGCGACCGCGAGGCTGGCACGATTGACATGTCTCAAGGGAGTTGCGTCAGGAGTGTTCTTGAGAGATTTAATATTTGTCGCACCAGCTCGATCCCTGCTTCCCCTGCCAGTGATTACAGGTCCGTGATGGAGGAGGAGAAGGCAGGGGATGTGCCGTTCCGAGAGGTGGTGGGGAGCCTGATGTGGATCGCCAACCAGACGAGGCCCGACATCTCAAATGCTGTGCGGGCGGTGGCGAGGCACTCACACGAGCCAAAGAAAAGCCACTGGAAGGCGGACCAGAAGAAGATTCTTAATTATCTTTTGGAGACGGCATATCTCACTTTGAAGTACAAGCAAGACACTATTGTAGACGTAGGCGCCTTGGTATACGTAGACGCAGACTTCGCCAGTAAGGCCACTGACCGTAGATCAGATTCGAGAGCACTAGTTCTTGTAGCTGACTGTCTTGTTGCTTGGATTTCTAGGACGCAGAAATGTGTCACACTCTCAATAATTAAAGCAGAGTACCTCAGAAAACTTTCACTTAGTGTCTCATACTCTACATGAATATTAAACCAATACGAACTACAACAACATATATATGTAGGACTTATTTCTACTGTCACTTACATCGTGAAAATGTCTCCCCTTCAACTTGAAATAAAACCAATGACAATCCTCATGGTATCCTATATGCGTTCGTAAGCTTGCTAAAATACTACTGCGTTGATGTCCTCTTGTAAAAGCTGAAATCCAACAAATGCTTTGATCCATGCTACATCTCCGTGTTGGAAAAGCCCTTTCTTCTCCGTTCATGATTGATTNGTCTCATACTCTACATGAATATTAAACCAATACGAACTACAACAACATATATATGTAGGACTTATTTCTACTGTCACTTACATCGTGAAAATGTCTCCCCTTCAACTTGAAATAAAACCAATGACAATCCTCATTGTATCCTATATGCGTTCGTAAGCTTGCTAAAATACTACTCCGTTAATGTCCTCTTGTAAAAGCTGAAATCCAACAAATGCTTTGATCCATGCTACATCTCCGTGTTGGAAAAGCCCTTTCTTCTCCGTTCATGATTGATTACATCTTACCCTATTCTACGCGAATCTGTCACATCTACTCTCAAACAAGACGCCAACTTCAAACGAAAACGCGTTCGTTCTACGATGCGTCTACACTTCATCCCCATATCATTGGCGTTGACTGCTTCGAGGTCGATCTTGTTCTTCTGTTTTCGGCGTCTTAACGCCCGCGCAATGCGAGCTTGTACCTCTGCACTCGCCGAGATGGCCACCTGTATATCTGCAATTGTCGGAAGGCAAAAAAAAAAAATGAAGCACAGTATTTTTGCTGTGGGTGACGGTGTAACAGAGGCGCTGTATGTCAATGAATGCTCGAGTTGTTGAGGCCCAAGTGATGGAATTGGTAAGATTCAGGTACGAGGACAACGAAGGTGCGATTGCACTTGCTGAGAATCCACTTAGTTCGTGTAGCAGTAAAGCATTTCGGCGTGAGGCACCACTTTTTTAGGAATCTGACAGGGAGGGGAGTGTTGGAATTCAGAAATGTCTTTAGCGAAGGACAGAATGCGAACATTCTGACGAAGGCTCTGCCGAGAGATCTTTTTTAAGTTCATCGTAATTTTGCTCTAGGCTCGAGATCTGAGAAATAGAGTGTCGAGGAAAACTGTTACAACGTAGTCAGGCACAGTTTACTATAGGTGCGACTGCGGCAACCAGCCTTCCGTAGAAATAATACAGGAAGAAGAGATGGTACTCAGCAGAGAACATGAGCACAGAGTTGTAGCGGAGATAATTTGGCAGGCGAGACTGTAGTTGTTTTATTGTTCCGAACCCGGAAATTCCGGTACTGGGGCCATTACCCCGGAGACCCTCGGAACCTGCTGGATTATGAAAAGCGGAGATTAGGAAAAGGAACGTTCCCCATCTTCCTTCTACCATAAAGATCCACGGAATATAGGAAAGTCGTGCACAGCTCTTCACTCCCTTTTCTGTCACGTGTCCGAGACAGGAAAACCAGAGGAAAGAGGATATCCTTTGAGACGCTCAGTCCACCGCTCCCACACCCCGCTCGTTAGCCCGATCGGTGCGTGGGACCTTTCGTCTCCTGCAAGATTCGTTTTCCCCTGTTTTTTGGCGCTCTCTCCTTGAATCATGAGCGCTATCGCCGGGTTTGACCCTGCCGTGTTGGAAGTCCCCACCGAGTACGACGAGTTCCTCGACATCTTCGCCAAGGCGGCCACGCCGGGCGGCATCCGGGCCATCAACCTCCACTGCATCGGCGCCCTTCCGCACGGGCGTCCGCTGGAGGGCGCGTCTCTCGACAGCGTGTCGGCGCTTTTCCTCGCCCTCACGCAGGCGGGTGACGCAGCCAC